CTCAGTTCATGTCAGTAAGCAAGATTAAACGTCATCAGGGCAGTGCTGACTTTGCCCTTCTGCTTTTTTTTCCCTTTTTAATTATTATTATTGTTTCCTACCAGACTCATGCAGGTATACTTTTTGTAGATTTGTTAAATGTCTTCTGCATCACAGGGACAGGACAAAAAGTGCACAGATTGTTGGGTTAAATGTGAGGCCTGTTTATCCTTAAGGATTGTTGTTGTTGTTATGTGCTGTCAAGTCCGACCCAACTCATAGCGACCCTTTCTTGGGTTTCTGAGTTGGTATCTCTATGGAAGTAGGTTGTGCAACCTTCCTTCCAAGGAGTGACTGGTGGATTTGAACTGTCAGCCTTCTGGTTAGCAGTCAAGTGCCTTAGGCACTACGCTACCAAAGCTCCTTAAGGATTATGTTGTTGTTTGCCATCGAGTTGGCCCCGACTCATAGCAACCCCTCCTTGGGTTTCTGAGGCAGTATCACTACGGAAGTAGGAATGCCCAACCTTCCTTCCGAGGAGTGGCTGGTGGGTTTGAACCGCCAGCCTTCTAGTTAGCAGTCAAGTGCCTTAGCCACTATGCTACCAGAGCTCCTTATGTTTTTAAAAAAAAAACCACTAAAATTGAAATTGGCATGTGAATTTGATGGAGGCAAGTGTGTACCTTAAAACAAAGCTGAAAGTTGTCTTTGGAATTCTTTTCTGACCACTTCCCCCCTTCTTTTTCTGCCTTTCCTGTAGCTACATTCCCTAAGTCAGTGTTTCTTAAAGCACAGTTCATAAACCCTGGATATACTTGGCTATATGTGATTTTAGATGATATACAAATACTTTATTTCAGTAGTTACATATTTTAATATGAATTGGAAAAATATAACTAGACTTTTCAGCCAGTGATTTCATGGATGTTATTGTTTAAGATAAAACTGTGGTAATCATAGTGTTAGGTCTATTTTTTTGAAAATTAGTAAATAGCACAGATGGTACACTAAAAAGACAAATCATAAATGTGGAATGTGAATGGCTGAAAGCTTAGTAACACTTTATTAAACTATAGCCCAGTAACACTGTTGTTTTCCCTTTTGGTTATATCTTCAATCATAAGTAGCTTTTCTGCTGTTGTTGTTATGTGCCATCTAGTTGGACCCGACTCATAGTGACCCCTCCTTGGGTTTCCAAGGCAGTATCACTACAGAAGTAGATTGCCCAGCCAGCCTTCTGAGGAGTGGCTGGTGGGTTTTAACCTTAGGCACTATGCTACCAGAGCTCCTAGCTTTCCTGCTTGTTGTTGTTGTTATGTGCCGTCGAGTCAGCCCTGACTCATAGCGACCCCTCCTTGGGTTTCCGAGGCAGTATCACTACGGAAGTAGGATTGCCCAACCTTCCTTCCGAGGAGTGGCTGGCGGGTTTGAACCGCCAGCCTTCTGGTGAGCAGGCAAGTGTCTTAGCCACTATGCTACCAGAGCTCCCAGCTAATTACCTACCTCTTGGAGTCCCAGAGTAGGCCAAAAGGTGTTTGTCCTGAAGTCAGGTTAGATAGTATTCAGTGCTGTGTTATCTAGACAGTGAACCAATCTTGTGTTAAATAATTAACAGTAACATGTATATTGGCACTTTTCTGGAGGAAGCCTTCTATATGAGGTATGTAGTTGGCAGAGAGAAGAAGATGTTAAGTCCCGGCCACAGAAATACACCCTTTCTTTTCCTCCAAATCTACTAGGTAGGAGCATGTGTGGAGTGTGTGCCTCTTACGAGTCTACATAGCTATTATGAGTCAAATTCATGGTGGCCCTTCCACAATGAAAATGTGAGTTGCTTGTGGGTGAAGTCTGTGTCTGGGGTTCTTTTCTTATAAAACAAGACAATATTCTGTATCTAGTTAGGAAAACATTGCTGCTTCTCTTTCCCTCTCCTCTTTTGTCCTTTCAAATATTGGGCCCCTGTCCACTATGAAAAGAGTATACAATTACGTTTACAAAGATGTAGACTAAATAAAGGATCTCATTGTGACCCAGAAGCCTAGGTGACTGAAAGAGAATCTGGATGCTGTCTTCTGGAATTTCTTCCTGTCAGGGATGTATCTGACTCAACTTTGCTATTATGCAGGATTTTCAGGTTGGATTAGTCGGTTTCCTTGGCAAGCTGCTTCCTAGGTAGACTAACTTAGCTGGAACTTCCAGGCTGTTTCAAGATGCTTTGTATTTGAAGCCTGAGTCCTTTGGCGTTCCTCCAGGAATTTTATACACATTTTGGGAATCACTTTTTTGGTTCTTAAGGAGCTCATTTTGTTCTCAGAGGTGTTTCTTTTTTAACTAGCACAGCAGCAGGTCACTGTAAGAATGGCATCAGCCTAATCAAAAACCCAACCCAACCCACTGCTGTTCAGTTGATTCCGATTCATAATGATCCTATAGGACAGGGTAGAACTTCCCCATAGGGTTTTTAGGACTGTACATTTTTATGGAAGCAGGCTATCTCATCTTCCTCCCACAGAGCAGCTGGTAGGTGCAAACCACCAATCATTTGGTTGGCAGCTGAGTCCTGTAACCATCGTGTCACCAGGGCTCCTTAGCATCACTCAGCAAGATGGGGGGGGCATTTTATAAATTTTATGACCTGTCCTGTAAATTTAATATGGAATTGTCAGAGAGGTAAATCACCCTGGTCCTGAGTTCCTAGTTCTGTATATATCATACTTCTCTAATGATAAGACAATTATAAAATGAAAATATATTTCCTTTTGTAGTTAAAGTTAACATTATCCTAGCTTTGGTCATTCCCAGTACAGTTACCTAAAAAATGAAATACCATCTTTGCCAGGATAATGTTAGTGCTTTTGGGATGTTATAGAAGCTTGTTTTTTAAAAGAGAGTTTGTGTGGCAAATTAATACTTAATCTAGATAAGAGCTATAGTTAAAGTTTACAGAAAATGCTGATTTAGATGGTAATCCTTCCTTTGAAATGCTTTTTAGCTTTGGCTTGCCTCTTGTCTTTTGCCTATGGTAAAGTTAAGTCTGGGAACTCTAGTGGAATAGTGCCTGAGGCATCTGGCTGCTAACCAGAAGGCTGGCGGTTCAAACCCACCAGCTACTCCTTGGAAGGAAGATTGGGCAATCTACTTCCATAGTGATACCGCCTCAGAAACCCAAGGAGGGGTTTCTATGAGTTGGATTCAACTCCTCGGCAGTGAGAAAGTCAAGTGTTGATGTTTCCACATTCTAAGCAAAAGAATTTATGAAGGTAAGAGTCCCTACTAGAAAATCATCTGGATTAGAGAAGTCAGGGGAGAAAATGGATGTGAGGAGTAGCTTATTCTGTTTGAAAAATTTAACTGTTAAATGCTTAGTTCTGTGGGGTCAGAGGAAGGCTGATTTTTAATCAGGGTTTTAAAGCATGTTCTACTTAGATAATTCTTTCTGTTCTGTATATTTTTTTGAAACTGCCACAATCTGTTATTACCAAATTCATTCAGAGTTAAAGCTTTAACCCAGTTAACAGCAAAATAGTGTCTCTTAAGATCAAAGATGGAGGTGTAGGCCTAATAAAGATGGTCTCTTAAGCAAAGGAGATATAAATTCTTTAGGGTTGCAGGAAAATATACCCTAAACTTATTTCAGTCCATAAAAAATAATGTTTGACTGTCTATGCTGCCTGTTTTTTAAAAAATCCAGTTTGGCATTAATTCAGAAGAAAAGTATTTCCCTCATAAAGAAAAATCTTTTTCTCTTCTTCCTTATTTCCAACTTCTAAGAAACACTCAAAAGAGTAACCCCAGCTCACTTCCCCTAGCCTGTGCCCATCTGATAAGGCTCACACCAATGATCATTCCTTAGGAATTTTCACTTCTCTTATAATCAGGAAAACCCATTGCCACTTAGTTGATTCTGACTCAGAGACACTATAGGACAGAGTAGAACTGCCCCATTTGGTTTTCTAGGCTGTAATCTTGATGGGAGCAGAACTCGAGGTCTTTTTCCTGCAGAGCCCCTGGGTGAGTTTGAAATACTAACCTTTCAGTTAGCAGCCAAGTGCTTTACCCACTGTACCACCAGTACTTCTTAAGTCAAGCAATTGGTCTTAATTATTGGACCAATTGAGGGCCAAATTTCCTGAAACTTGCCAATATCCTCTGTTTTCTATAAGGAGATCATCAGGGTTTGTGTCTCTGCCAGGCTTGGTACAAGGAGGCCTTCTTAAATAAAAATGCCCAACACCTTATAACCTAAAAGTAACCTACCAGTTCAAAATAATAAGTAGCAGCAAGCACCAACCTATTGGCTATACACAAAGGTGCATGTCTCTTCCCTTTAACCATAAAGGTAAAGGATGCAAAATCAAAACCAAACTCACTGTCATCAGGTCGGGTCTGACTCAGCAACCCCTCCTTGGGTTTCTGAGGAGGTATCTCTAGGGATGTAGATTGCCCAGTCTTCCTTCTGAGGAGTGGCTGGTGGGTTTGAGCTGCCAGCTTTCTGGTTAGCAGTCAGATGCTTTAGGCATTATGCCAGCAGAGCACCCAAAGGATGCAAGGAGAGGTGAAAAGAGGACTTCACCTCATCTGTCTTCAGAGAAAATTGAAAATTTTCAGCCAAAGCCACATTGCAAAGAAAGGTCCAAGGCTGGAAGGATACTCTTTGCTCTGTTCTGGCTGGAAAAAGCTGCTTTTCCTAGGCAGCCTGTCCACTGTGTTCTAAATGGTTATCTTTTAGTCACCTAGTTTAGGTGCCCTGTTGGAAAGTAGCCTGAGAACAGTATCTCTTTGAATTGCTCATTTATGTATAATTTGAGATGTTACAGAGAAACCCTGCACCTAAAAATAGCTATGCTGATCATATTTAGCCTGAAATTTTATAGATAAGCTTTAAGGTGGGTTATATGATCTCTTAATTATTCAGAATTGGTTTTTCAGTCTTTACTGTTAGGTACAGAGCCTTATACCTAATAGACTAAATATTTGTAAAATTTAATTGCTTATAACTTTTATTCTTTTTTTTTTTAAAGAAAAGGTACAGTTTGGCAGTGGGACCTCCCAAAAAAGATCCAAAAGTTAAGAGTGTCCAATCAGCAGCAGTACAAGCTTTTCTCAGAAGGAAAGAAGAGGAACTCAGGCGAAAAAGTACGTCTCTGTATCCTTATTCTCAATATTAAAGTCTTCTACCTTCACAACTAAAAAAAAAAAAAAACCCTACCACCAAACCTTTTGCCATTGAGTCAATTTCAGCTCATAGTGACCCTATAAGACAGAGTAGGACCTGCTCCATAGAGTTTCCAAAACTGTAAATCCTTACTGGAGCAGTGTCACACTTAATCACTATGCCACCAGGGTTCCTCCTTCATAACTAGATTGTACTTAGTCAGTGGATCTTTGTAAACACATAACAAGCTAACAGATTTGTTTTAGATCTGTGGCTTTGTATGTGTTTTTATGTTGATCATTTGTATGGAAGTTATCTTTTATTCCCCTTTAAATTAAAAGCTTCTGGGAACAGTGACTGTATCTTCGAATTGGCCATCATAGGTCCCTAATAAAAACTCTATTTTACCCTGGTTTTGGATCTTCTTCTACCTGTTTTTCATTTCGATTTTTAAAGTTATTGTTATTAAGAGTAATATCTTAGATGTTAAATAGAGATAATTTATGAAAACCATTAAGCCCAAGAGGTATTTTTACATCATACAAATGACAAGGAAACATTTAATAAGTTTAAGTATTTATTGATTCATAATGACTAATAACTGCTGAGTGTGGATACTAATATTCCTTTAACTTTATTTGTTTGGTATAAACAATTTTCTCTATTTAAAGCTGAAAACCAAGTCTTCCACTTGCTTAGTCATACAGATAAGCCCGTATGTGACCCCACTTATGTAAAGATGACTCAATTGATACTTGTTAGATGACTCAATTGATACTTGTTAAATGACTTCCTTATTTGATTCTTAGATGTCTTCATTTCTTCCATTTCCTTTAGCAACTCTGTTCAAGAGCAGGTTTCAGAGTCTCTTGTGACATCCATTTTGGTCTTTTCTTCCTTTCCTGTCTTTTTAAAGACTTTTTGCTTTCTTCATGGATGATATTCTTGATGTCATCCCGTAATTTGTCTCATTTTCAGTCACTGATATTCAGTACATCAGATCTGTTCTTTAGATGGTCTCTAAATTCAGGTAGGATATAATCAAGGTCATATGTTGGCTCTTGTGGACATGTTTTAATTGTCTTCAGCTTCAACTTGAATTTGCATATGAGCAGTTGGTGGTCTGTTCTATAGTCAGCTCCTGGACTTATTTTGGCTAAAGGTATTGAGCTTCTCCAGTGCCTTTTGGCACAGATGAAGTCAATCTGATTCCTGCGTCTTCCAACTGGTAAAGTCCACATGTATAGATGTATGTTGTTGAAAAAAAAAATTTGCAATGAATAAGTCGTTGGTCTTGCAGAATTCTGTCATGCTATCTCCCACGTCATTTCTATCACCAAGGCCATATTTTCCAACTACCGGTAGTTCTTTGTTTCCAGATTTCACATGCCAGTCACCAGTAATAATCAACACATCTTGATTGCATGCTTAGTCAATTTCAGACTGCTGAAGTTGATAAAAATCTTCAGTTTTCTCATCTTTGGCTTTGGTGGTTGGTGCGTAAATTTGAATAGTAGTAATATTAACTGGTCTTTCTTGTAACTGTACGGATATTATCCTGTAACTGACACCATTGTACTTCAGGATAGATCTTAAAACATCCTTTGTGACAATGACTGTCATGCTGTTTCTCTTCAGTATGTCATTCCCAGCATAGTAGATCAATATGGTTGTCTGATTCAGAATGACCAGAACCAGTCCATTTCAGCTCACTAATGCCTGAGATATCAATCTTTATGTGTTCCATTTCATTTTTGACAACTTCTTATTTTCCTAGATTCATACTTGTACATTCCATGTTCCGGTTATAAATGGATGTTTGCAGCTGTTTCTTCTCATTTTGAGTCATGCTCTGGTAGCATAGTGCCTAAGGCACTTGACTGCTAACCAGAAGGCTGGCGGTTCAAACCCACCAGCCACTCCTCGGAAGGAAGGTTGGGCATTCCTACTTCCGTAGTGATACTGCCTCGGAAACCCAAGGAGGGGTCGCTATGAGTCGGGACCGACTCAATGGCAAATAACAACAACAACAACAACACCTCAGCAAATGGAGGTCCTGAGAGCTTTATCCACGTCATTAAGGTCACCTCTACTTTGAGTTGGCAGCTCTTTCCCAGTCATATTTTGAGTGCTTTCCAAACTGAGGGGCTCATCTTCCAGCACTATATCAGACAGTGTTTCAGGGATATTTATAAAGTTTTCCAGTAATATATCAGACAGTATTTCACTGCTATTCATAAGGTTTTCACTAGCCAGTTCTTTGAGAAGTGCATGGCCCCTTCCTTCTTCCAAGTCTGTCTTACTCTAGAAGCTCTGCTGAAAGCGAATGGAAATGAAAATAACAAGCAGATGGGAGAAATGACAAGATAAAAGAGCTGAACAGAAGGTTTTAAAGAGCAGCTCGAGAAGACAGAAGTCAGTTATTATAATGAAATGTGCAGAGACCTGGAGTCAGAAAACCAAAAGGAAAGAACATGCTTGGCATTTCTTACGGTGAAAGAATTGGGAAAAAAAAATTTGTTCAAGCCTCGAGTTGTGGTATTGAAAGATTCTGTGGGCAAAATATTGACTGGTGAAGGAAACAACAAAAGAAAATAGAAGGAATACACAGAATCACTGTACCACAAAGAATTAGTCGACGTTCATCCTTTTAATGAGGTAACATATGATCAAGAACCGGTGATACTAAAGAAGTCAAAGCTACACTGAAGGAATTGGCAAAAAACAAGACTCCAGGAATTGACAGAATACCCATTGAGATGTTTCAACAAATGGATGCCACGCTGGAGGCACTTGTCTATGCCAAGAAATTTGGAAGACAGCTACCTGGCCAACTGACTGGAAGAGATCCATATTTATACCCATTCAAAAGAAAGGTGACCCCACAGAATGTGGAAATTATCAAACAATGTCATTAATATCTAATGCAAGTAGAATCTTGCTGAGGATAATTCAGAAATGGTTGAAGCAGTATAATGACAGAGAATTACTGGCAATGCAAGCTGGATTCAGAAGAGAATGCAGAATGAAGGGTATCACTGCTGATGTGAGGTGGATCTTTGCTGAAAGCAAAGAATACCAGAAAGATGTTTACTTAGGTTTTATTGACTATGCAGAGGTATCCAACTGTGTGGATGATAACAAATTATGGAGAACATTGAGAAGAATGAGAATTCCAGAACACTTAATTGTGTTCATGAGGAACCTGTACATAGAGCAAGAGGCTGTTGTTTGAACAGAGCAAGGGAATACTCTATGATTTAAAATGAGGAAGGGAGTGCATCAGGCTTGTATCCTTTACCATACTTACTCAGTCTGTTTGCCAAGCAAATAATCTGAGCTGGACTACATGGAAGCTGTGGTAATGTAGTGCCTAAGGCATTTGACTGCTAACCAGAAGGCTGGTGGTTCAAATCCATCAGCTACTCCTTGGAAGAAAGACTGGGCAATCTACTTCTGTAAAGATACCACCTCGGAACCGCAAGGAGGGGTCGCTATGAGTCAGAATTGACTGGACGGCAGTGAGTTTGGTTTTGGTTGGACTACGTGAAGAAGAATGCGGCATCAGGATTGGAGGAAAAATCATTAACAACCTGTGATATGCAGACAACACAACCTGGCTTGCCAAAAGTGAAGATGGCTTGAAGCACTTAACAATTAATTAATTATTAATTAATAATGATTAATGACTACAGGCTGCAGTATGCCTTACACTTTACAAAAAGAAAACAACTAGACCCCACAACCGGACCAATAAACAACATTACAGTAAATGGAGAAAAGACTGAAGTTGCCAAAGACTTCATATTACTTGGTTCCACAATCAACACTAATGGAGGCAGCAGTCAGAAAAATCAGACGACGTATTGCCCTGGGCAAATCTGCTGCAAAAGACCTCCTTAAAGTGTTGAAGAGCAAAGGTGTCTCTTTGAAGACTAAGGTGTGCCTCTCCAAGCCTCCGTGTTTTCATCATCTCATATGCGTGTGAAAGCTGGATAGTGAATAAGGAAGACCGAAAAAGAGTTAATGCTTTTGAGTTGTGGCGTTGGTGAATAATACTGAAAGTACCATGGACTGCCAGAAGAACTAACAAATCTGGCCTGGAAGAAGTGCAGCCAGAATGCTCCTTGGAAATGAGAATGGCCAGACTTCATCTCACCCGCTTTGGTCATGTTGTCAGAAAGGACCATTACCTGGAGAAGGATATCATGCTTGATAAAGTGGTGGGTCAACAAAAAAGAGGAGGGCCCTGAAGGAGATGAATTGACACAGTGACTGCAGCAATGGGCTCAGGTATAGAAAGGATTGTGGGGCTGACACAGAACTGGGCAATGTTTCATTCTGTTTTATGTAGTCACTATGGGTTGGAGCCAAATTAATTGCACAGTGTATCATCATTCTTGTTCGTTCTCGTCTAGTTGTACTATTTCCAGTAATGTAGTTTCCCTGCCCATTTACCTTCTCATCTTTGTTTTAATTTTTGATGACTTGGTCTTATACAGTGGTTTTACAAGTGTATGTATATGTTCTGTAAGAACTCCCAGGGGTATAGTAGAGCTGACAAGGTACAAGGTTGTAGTCATTTCTTGGTCACAGCCAGCTACCTAGAGGGACCGAGTAGTTGAACCTGTGGGCTCAGGACCATAGTCACAGGCAACATCAAGCTCAATTGGCATAACATACTACACAAAACATTGTTTACCTCCTGCTTTGGCGAGTAGCAACTGGGATCTTAAAAGCTTGCAAGCAGCCATCTAGATGCAATGATGGGTCTCTCCTTATCCAGAGCAAAGAAGAATGAAGAAAACCAAAGATTCATGGAAACAGTTAGTCCTCGCAACTGGTACACCATGTGATCCTCAGCCTATACGACTATGAGACCAGAAGAACTAGATGGTGCCCAGCTACCACTGTCAGCCACTCAGAGAGGGATCTATGTAGGAGATCCTGGATAGAGAGGGAGAACAATGTGGAATAAAACTCAAAATCATTTGGGGGGAAAAAAAAAGGAGACCAGGTTTGCTGGTCTTATAGAGCCTGGTGGAACCACTGAGACTATGGCCCATAGGCCCTTCAGGTCTGGAATTGAACCCACACCTGTGGCTTCCAGCCAAACAAAAGGCAGGCATATGAGTTGAACATGTACCTGAGGTAGATCCAGTCCTTGGAGAGAACAGTCATGGGAGAAAGAAGGGCTGCTTATGCACAGGGAGACAGCTCAGGGGGCAGGAGTGCATGGAGGGATGGACACAGGGAAGAGGTAACTATGGGGGGGGAAGTGGGAGGGGAGCTGTTGCATTGGGGTAAACTATCAGTGGCATGAGACAAAGTGTATGTGAACTGCTGTATGGAAAGTGAATTTGCTCTGTAAAGTTTCACCCAAATCACAATTAAAAAAAAAAAAAAATTAAGATAGAAAACTTGCTTACCTGAAAAAAAAAATTTGAGTTTTGAGTCTTTGGTTTCCTTCTTTCTCTTTTGTTGTAAATGAGTAGAAATGAGTTGTTGTATCTTAGATAGCTCCTCGCAAAATTTTAAGACCCTAGACACTACTCACCACGTGGTGATGAAGAACATATATTTTATAAACTATATTATGCCAGTTAACTGAGTTGTCCCACAAGACTATGGTCCGAAGCCTTCAAACCCAGAAAATCCATCTCACGTTTAGCAACTCATGTTTAGTTATAAGGAGTACCCGTAACTTTGTCCCCTATGGATTTCATTATATATGTGGATATACTTGCATGCACATACATATCTGTATACACATGTCTATAGTTTCATCTATTTTTGCACACATATGTACCAACATATTCATACCCACACACATATATGCCTGGATACATGTTTGTGTAACCACACACTTTTTGGTTGGTATTGGTGGTGGTGCAGAATTAAATTTCTCATATCCTTTGTCAGCATACTGCTGTCCTGAGACTATGAAATAATAACATGTTCTTCTTTTGTCCCTTTTAGCCTTAGAGGAAAAAAAGAGAAAAGAAGATCTAGTAAAAAAGCGAATTGAGCTAAAACATGACAAGAAAGCTAGAGCCATGGCCAAGAGGACAAAGGATAATTTCCATGGTTACAATGGAATTCCTGTGGAGGAAAAGTCAAAGAAGAGGCAGGCAGTGGAAAGCCACACAAGCCAGGGAGCAGTCCAAGAGTATGAGATGGAAGAAGAGGACGAATTCTTAGAATACAATCAAGCAGAATCAGAGCAGGAGTATGAAGAAGAGCAAGAACCTCCCAAAGTTGAAAGCAAGCCAAAGGTCCCCCTTAAAAGTGCCCCACCCCCTATGAACTTCACTGATCTGCTCAGGCTGGCTGAGAAAAAGCAGTACGAACCAGTGGAGATCAAGGTAGTAAAGAAAACAGAAGAGCGGCCTATGACTGCTGAAGAACTTAGGGAGCGAGAATTTCTTGAACGAAAGCATAGGAAAAAGAAACTAGAGACAGATGCAAGACTACCTCCGAGTGTGTCCAAAAAGGTGCCCTTTCAGAAAGAAGGGTTGGGCATAAAACTTAGCAAAGGTTCTGGGGACAAGATTCCTTCTTCTAAGGGAACTTCCCTTCCTCATGCTGAGAAGAAATCCAGACCCAGCACAGCCAATGACAAGCCCTTAAGTTTGTCATCATCTAAATCCATGTCAGGAGAGAGGACCAAGACAGGATCTGGCAACTGCTCACAACCATCACTTCGTGAGGGCCATGACAGACCTGTTTTCAATGGGGCAGGTAAGCCCCATTCCAGCACGTATTCACCAAGTGTCCCAAAGACTTTTGTCAGCGGGACTCAGAAATCTGCCACTGAGCACAAAGCCAAAAAACCTCTTCCTTCTCATCCTGGCCATTCCAGGCCTGGGCCCACAGTCACTGTGAACAACAAGGTAAAGAGTCCAGGTGTCAGGCAGCCAGGCAGCAGTTCTAGTTTCATCCCTGGGCAGCCCAGCACAGGAACTGCTCGACCCACAGCTACTACTGCCCCTGTACCCAAGCGCCAGAATGGCAGTTCCAGCTCAGGACCTGAGCGATCAGTCAGTGGGACCAAGAGGCCAGCGTGTGACTCAAATCCCTCTAGTCGGACTGTCAGTGGTGCAAGTGGCCCTGGACGACCTGCAAGCAACTCAGGTGGCCCTGGGCGGCCCATTAGTGGCCCAGGTGGTTCTGGGAGACATATGAGCAGCTCTGGGGGCCCTGGGAGACCCCTGAGCACTCCACATGATCTTCGGCGACCAGTGAGTGGTTCAGGCCCCCCTGGACGTGGTCCTGGGCGATCAGCAGTTGGCTCAATTTCAGGTGGACAGACTGTCAGTAGACCAGTAAGCAGCTTGGGACCTAGGCAAACAGTTAGTAGCTCAGGTCTCCCCATAAAGCCCAAGTGCACTGTTGTTTCAGAAACAATTTCTTCCAAGAATATCATTAGCCGATCCAGCAATGGACAGATGAATGGAATGAAATCTCTATCTGGCTACAGATCTGCCCAAGGTAAACTTGCCTCTCAGCTAAAAGTATGTTTGTCACTAAGAATTTGGAAAAAGTACTTTGCTTTATATGACCGGTGTCCCTGTGAACCTTTCCATGTGTCTTTTAGAGTACTTTAGTACTGATAGAATCCTAATGTTTTGTCTGCTCTGTGATGTGAGTTCCTTCAGTTACCATGGCTTGGAAAAGTCTTCAGGAGGAGACTTATCTGGCTTTCTGTGTTTGCCCCTGCAATGTCCCCAAGTGCAATAAACTGAGCTGTGTGATTTGGGAGACACAATGAGTGCACACACAGTATCTTAGTTATCTGGTGCTGCTATAACAGAAATGCCAGACATGTGGCTTTAACAAACAAATTTATTTTCTCACGGTTTTGGAAGCTGGAAGTCAGAATTCAGGATACTGGCTCTAGAGGAAGGCTTTCTCTGTCAGCTCTGGAGAAAGGTCCTTGTTCCTTCAGCTTCTGCTTCCTGATGCCTTAGAGATCTCCATGTATCTTGGCATCTATCTTACTCCATCTCTGCTTTTTAAAATTCCTTTTATATATTGTAAGACATTAACTCAAAGCATACCCTATGCTAATCCTGTCTTGTTAACATAACAAAGGTAACCCATTCCCAAATGGCATTATAACCACAGGCATGTTGTTGTTATGTGTCATGGAGTTGGACCCGACTGGTAGTGACCCCTCCTTGGGTTTCCGAGGCAGTATCACTATGGAAATAGATTGCCCCATCTTCCTTCTGAGGATTAGCTGCTGGGTTTGAACCACCAGCCTTCTGGTTAGCAGTCAAGTGCCTTAGCCACTATGCTACCAGAGCTCCCCACACAGGCATAGACGTTAGGATTTACAACACATTTTTTGGGACAAAACTCAGTCCATAGCACATGGCTGCACATGTCTTATGTAGCTCAAAGGATGACTTCTTGTTTTAGCTTTTACATGAGGCTGAGATGAGCTCTGGTGGCATAGTGCCTAAGGCATTTGACAGCTAACCAGAAGGCTGGCCGTTCAAACCTACCAGCCACTCCTCAGAAGAAGGATTGGGCAATCTACTTCAGTAGTGATACCACCTCAGAAACCCAAGGAGGGGTTGTTATGAGTCAGATCTGACTCCATGGCAGTGAGTTTGGTTTTTTATGAGGCTGAGAGAAGCCTGTGAATACAAATGTGAACATGAGGCTTAAAAAGCACACACTATGCGCCAAGAACACTTAGATAGTTCTTGTGTTCCTTATAGTCTCATAGTGGGCAACATCAAGGTGCTAGCTACTAGTCCTTTAGGAATCTATACTGTCTAAGGTAAGGGATCATTAGTGGAACTTGCTAGATCATAGTTGTGTTATGCTAGTAGGCTTTTGTTGAAGCACTTGAAGAATATAAAAAGAAACTAGAGATGAGGGTCCTTGCTTTAAATAATCCTAATTCAACTAGCAGTTATTTTCAAGCAGGAGCAATTCGGCCATGTCTGGAGACATTTTTCATAGTTGTGGGGCATGGGATCCTATTGGCATTTAATGGGTAGAGGGTAGGGGTCTATTTATGTCCTACCATGCATAGGATATCCCCTGCACAACAAAGAATTATCTGGCCCAAAATGTCAGTAGTGTCAAGGTTGAAAAACCCTGAGCTAGGGAGATAAGTCATGCATATTAAAAACAACTATGGTAGAACAAAAGGAGTATCTGTAATCAAGGACTAGAAAGTAATTGTTTCTAGATGCTAGTCTATTGATGGAAGATGGGGCAATCTACTTCCATAGTGATACTGCCTCGGAAACCCAAGGATGGGTTGCTACGTCCGACCGACGGCACATAACAACAACAGTCTATTGATCAGTGCCTGTCTTTAGCAAACTTTTTCCTGGCCTTTTGACAAAATGGTAATTCTGAGAATCTTTCGTACTTTTGGTCTTTAAAATTTTTTTAATGTAATTGTGGTGATAGTAGATGTAGGTTGCTACTTTGGAAATTTTTTTGTTCTTTCAGATCGGGAAGTATGGGAATTACTAAGCTAGAAAATGTAATGGACATTTCTAATAAACCCTGAGACAAACATAATCTGCTTTTTCATGAATACAGGCAGTCTTCGCTAAAGAACGTCCAACTTAAGGACAACTTCTATTTGCTTTTTCATGTTAAGTAAATTTGCCCTCACTTTGAAACATTTGCCCAAACCCCTACAGCAACACATTCTTGATCACAGTCACCTTCACTTGCTGCATGTGCAGCTTTCAAGTCATTGAAAAGGCTTTTGAGTCTTCACTTTGACTAACCCAAAACCAAACCCACTGTCATCAAGTTAATTCCAACTTATAGCGACCCTTTAAGACAGTAGAACTGCCCCATAGGGTTTTCAAGACTATCCATCTTTTATGGAGGCAGACTGCCTCATCCTTCAACTGTGGAGGAGCTGGTGGGTTAGAACTGCCAACCTTTTGGTTAGCACCTGACTGCCTTAACCAATGCCACCAGAGCACCACCTTGCACTAAAATAGGACCATATCCATCTGTTCCAACTTACCTACAAATTGATGTGGGAACTAATCTGCTGCTTACCTGGGGACTGCCTGTACCATGAAGCAGCAGAGATGATGAGAGCCAACCTGCTGGTTCTGGTTTTTAAAGAATACTGTCTTACTAAGTTCTCAAAATCTCACTTTACATAGAATAGAACTCTGTTGAGACTGCTAAATTTAGTCTCCTATAAAAGAGATTATGTTTTAATTCTAATTTTTTTAAAAATTAATAAAATTTATAATTGTAAGACCTTATAAAATTGTAATATTTCATCATAAGGAGAACACAAAAAGCTCTTACAAATAATGGCTTTTCTGTTCTTAGGTCCTCAAAGGCTTCCCTTTTCCTCTGGTTACAAAAGGCAGCGAGAATATGACGAGGAAGATGATGATGATGAATATGACTCTGAAATGGAAGGTTTCATTGAAGATGAAGGAGAACCTCAGGAAGAAATATCGAAGCACATTCGAGAAATTTTTGGCTATGATCGAAAAAAGTAAGGCTAAAGAAAATGTGGATAAATGTGATATACTTTTTATTTTGAATAATTTATGTTATGGGGGAAAGTAAACATTACTAGTATAGGCGTTGAATAAAATTTAGAATTAGGAACCCCTAGAGGATGTTTAAGGAGCTTTGGTGACATAGTGAGTAAGGTGTCTGGCTGCTAACCAGAAGGTCAGCAGTTCAGACCCACTAGCTGCTCCGCAGGAGGAAGATGGACAGTCTACTTCTGTAAAGATTTACAGCTTTGGAAACCCAGTGGGGGTTGCTATGAATTGGAATTGACTCAATGACAGTGGGTTAGAGGTTGTTACTTTAAATAGAGTTACTCTTTGGCACTTAATACTAGAAAATTAGTTCAAAATTACTTGGTTATTTCTATGAGGACCAAAAAATACCCTCTTTTTAATTTAATTGCTGTCCTTATAAAATGTGTGTTTTAAATGTATATTTAATGAGTAAAGCAGCTTACTATAATAAAAATTCCTTTTGAAGTCTGATGGCCATCTACTTGTTGAAAGCTGATCTGCCTTGACACCTGCTTTTCTTTACTTTTTTTTAATTTTTATTGTGATTTGGGTGAAGATTTACAGAGCAAATTCACTTTCCATACAGCAGTTCACATATACTTTGTCTCATGTGATTGACCACAGCTTACCACAGTGCAACAGCTCCATCCCTCCATGCACTCCTGCCCCCTTGAGCTGTCTCCCTGTGCATAAGCAGCCCTTCTTTCTCCCATGATTGTTCTCTCCAAGGCGAGTATCTACTTGAGGTAAATGTTCAACTCATATGCCT